AGCCATTCAGCATAATGATTGAAAACGTGATATTTAAGTAATGCATTTATATATGTATATATATATATATTCAGTCAGTTGCAACGTAGAACTTCGTACGTAAGTACATCAGTTCAGATTGCCATGCCACATTAGCATAGAGACGCAATCGTTAGTTCAAATCCCATAGTGGTAGAGATAGTAGGAGTACTACCGGTAATCGGTTGCCCCAGGAAACACGAGCACTGCTTCTAAGACATCTATGATCGAATACTAATAATCTACGAATAACGGCCATGTTTCTGATCCATATGGGAGAACGAAGCGAACTGCTGCGCAGTACACTCGTCCCTTAGTCAGCAAACGGATATCTCGCCTACGCCATAAATGACGTAAATTGGCAAAAGTCAGTCGAGCCTTCTGTATCCGTGCTGAGATTTCGTCAGTCACCAGGCCATCAGCACTCCCGAGATAAGTGAAGCGGTTGACACGCTCAACTACTTCACTCCTTATCACTAGTTCAGGTGGTCATTAAACGCGTTATGATTTATAGAATTTGATCAGCATTAAACATATATGATATTATGGACTATTCATTGACTAAATATATAACTTTTCATTAATTCAATGCAGTCAACCTTTAGGGGCGTTAAAATTTTTAAAATTAACCAAGTAGGCTGTAATGAAACTTATATTTTGCATTGTACGGTTGTAGAGATTGCTGAGTTGTTTTGAAATCATGAATCGATCATTGTCAGAGCACCATTAAAAAGTCGGAAGCACTGAACGTCCTCTCCGTTCCAGTATGATGGGACCTATCATCGGTGCGCATCCACGACTCCCGCTACTTGCAGAAACCGAACCCAGTACCTTCGGTCTTGCGCGCGAACGCTTAGCCTATGGGCCACTGACACGGCATCCAACGGACTTAATGTTAACATTGTTCGATATTTGATTTCAAAGTGATCTGACAATCTCCACAACCCTATAATGCAAGAAAACTTAGTTGACTTACAAGTTCAAATCATTAATTCATGCTGTTTATATTCAAACTATAAGTAATACTATTCATATTATTATGATAAGTATTTAAATGGACATAAGATTACCATAAACAGGACATTGGAATTGAACTGACTATGCATTCTGTTTTTGTGTGTGTATAGAAAATATTATTGATTCTATTTATATGAAGGTAAATCACATGACTCCTGATGTTAGAGATGTGAGCATGGTTGTTACTTGATAGATAGTTAGTTTTTGACAGGTTACTTACTCATTCTGAAGGAACTAGTCAAAGAACAGAGTATTGATGGGCTGGAAATGTAAGCATTTCGGATTGGGTCTCACATAGCCTTCTTGTAAATTGTTTTCGATGTGATAACTCTGCTTACGAAAATTTCGCCACCAGCGGTGAAATATGATATCTTTAGGGTTGGATTTTTGCTATGGAGAGACAATATGTCTGAAGAAGCTAGTTCTTTTAAAGGAACACTTTAGTGCTGTCATATCCCAGTGCAGTTAGCGGTATAATTCCAGCCTCGGGCCATGAGTTTGTTGCTTTTAGTTTCATCATCCCTCGACCGATCCACTTAGCATGGTAGGAATTAAAGAAACAAGTGTTTAGCTGGATTGTGTCATGATGATATGTATGCATGACCAACATGTCAAGGTGGTAGCTACAGTCGTGGTATTTGTATTTTTTAATAATGGATAGTCTCCAAAAAAACGCACATCAACGATTCGACTCCTTAATGACTTTTATTGGTTTTCCTTAATTAATATCTGTTTCTGATAACATAAAATTTCCGAATCATTCAAAATCTCCACCAAAACAAACCCCATCCATATATGCGCATATTTGACTAATAGATACTCTAGATCTTTCATATCAACTTCTCATAATCATCGTGATTATTACTTATTAGTTCATTTATTAAGCATAAATTCGTAGACTCAACTTTCAATCATACTCCATGTGTGATGGCTAATAGTATCATGCAACTGTATAAACTAATAAAGTTGGAGCTGGGCTCCGAATTTCAACTTATTGATTGAAAGTGGAACATATTAACAATGAAGCCATGGTTCGCTAAAATCACAGTCATATCCTCCATTGGGAAGCTAGTCAACTGATTATCTCATTTCATTAACTAATTACAGTTACAGATCGGTATGTGCGTTTGTCAATGAAAGATTTATGCTTATCTTGAGTTATATGACCAGTAATTTAAACGCTCCGATAATATTCAACTAATAATTTGATAATTAAGCACTATTGTGTTCTCATTTATTTCGACGTCTATTAAATTAACTTATAACAAGTTGCTAACTTTTGTATTCATTAATAATAACGGTACATTGAATAAGAGAATTTACCTTCCTTCTTTATTTTATGCAATTGTTTCTCTACACGTTTTCCTCTGCCTCTTATTGTTTTGATTTGATGTAAGGAGAATGACTTTTGTTCTTTTCATTTCACTAGTTTCATTGTAAAATATGACGGGTAGAATGGGATTTTTAAATTTATACAATGAAATTCCCATTTCATAATAGTTAGTCGTTGGTTTTTGCGTGTGTGTGTGTGTGAACACGTCGTTTAGCTGTTTCATTTCTATTCTAAAATTTCTATTGTGATTTATTTGAAAGAAACAAATACAAAGTGAATAAATCTTTTTTATTATTTTTAGGGTGTACTAATTAAAATATTTAACAATTTAATTTTTCATTCAGAATATATGTTAACTTGTTTCATTTATAAATCTTAGGCGGGATATCCGTTTACCTACTAAAGGACAAGTTTACTGTTCAACCGTTCACTCCCTTCCAATTTATGGATATAGAACATAGCCATTAAGAATAGAGAATATTCATAGGGTACTAGTATCGTAACGTAGGTGTTTCCGAAGTAAATTAGGTGGAGAGTAACAGGTAAAGGTAGCAAATCCGTCCTTAAGGTAGTGAATTTTCATCAACTGAAGTGTTTGATATATGTGTTGTGTATGCTCTCTCACCGTCTACTTCGATAGGCTATATTATGTGGTGTATGAGTAAGTTGGAAGAAAGTTAGGGATTGCCACAGTACTGTATATAAATTAGTTAAAGAAAGCGATTATTGGGGAATTTAGAAACTTCAGATCTAATGGAATACAAAAGTGGGTTTACTTGTCCTACTGGAAACGAGTTGGAGCTATATCATTCAAGGTCTCTAACCATTAGTAATAATGACCACTGATTCTCTAACCAGGTTGTCTGCACCTACTTACATAGCTCAGCCCATCGGTCAATGTCCTTATAAATAGATACCGTGAGTTAGATATTGTAACTAATGGCTAGAGATCTCAGGTGCACTCACTGTGTACGTCCCCTTAGACATTGAATCTTGAAACCGCTTACCACTGGTACCGTGACTACTTCTTCTACTCTTTGATTGATCTCGCTGTGTTGTGATTCGGGAACATGAATTGTTGCACATATGTCATGTTCTACGTCAACCATAGCTGGCTGACTACTTCTTTATGCCATTTTACTATCATGATTGGTTAATATAAGTTATTTATATTTGTATATTCTCTCAAATAATTTAAATAACACGAATCAAATCATAGAATTTTAGAATGTTCATACATTATATGCTAAGAATAAGTTAGATAAACGTTGCATTCGATTCCTGTGTGCGGTTTCATAGATGCACATACTCTTGAACGGTCCCACACTAGGTTGAAACGGTTGTCTAACCCAAATGTCATCCGTTCATGATCGCGATAAATTTTTTATCGTGATAAAAAGATCAAAAATGATTTGCTGAGGTTATTTTTTATCTGCTTACGATGCATTCAAAAAACATGCAAAAGTGATAAATTGTTCATGTAATAAAATTTGTTCTTTTCTTGATGATGAAAATCCCATACATAGCAAAAAAGAAAATCAACTACCATAGTAAACACAAACTTGATATCATTTAAAGTTATCTACATCGGTGATCATCGGGTAAAATTTGTAGAAAAGATAAAAAGAAATAAGAAGAAACAAGGTGCACATATTTTTTGGATTTTTTTTTCTCGTTTCAAGTCACATGTACTGATGTTGATGTTGATGATGTCAGTTAAAAATCTTTTTTTCATGCTGAAAATAAAATAGCATTGGATATGGAGAATAACTGTTTCTTTTTTCAATTTAAGCACATTTATTCAATCATACATACACTAGATTGAATCCATTGCATTCAAATTTCAAACTAATTAAAATTACATTGAAACTTCTTAAGAACCTGGATTTTTTTTTCAGACTTTATTCAACTTAGTATGTAGCGAGATAGTGTGATTGATATGTAGACAGTCAGTCATTAATTTCTGCATGGTTCATTTCATAGATTATATCTTTTCATCTGGAAACTCTATTCATTAGTGATGACGTGTATGGAAATTGATTTTTTTCTTTCATTTACATCATTATCAGGTTCTTCTACCGTAAGATTCTAATGAAACTTTGTATATGGGTATACAAGAAATAGGATGCCAATCGAGGCAGTTTACGATTCATTGATCATTAATAAAATAGCGTGTATAACACACACACAATAGGTTAAACTACCAATTGATAGTAAATAGATGGGTATTCTGTTAGTGTAGTGATTGGTTTGATGTTCTTATAAACACAAAAAGATTAAAAAAAACCATGAATCAATAAATTTTAGAGCACTATTAGAAGCATGGGATGGCCGTTTCATCCTAGTACGGGACTCATCAGCACTACCTCCACAACCCTGTAATGAAAACTATCATGTACCCACTAGTCACTAGCTTCGTTAGGAAATTTTCGGAGTTCTGGTGAGAAGCCATGACCAGTGGAGTTCAACCGTGTTGGATGAGGTCTCGCAATACCGTAGATGAATTGAAGTTAGACATTAATATCGTTTCAAGTTTTCTGCTTTCATATAAAAAAAAAGATTGTTTTGTTGCTGCTTAACTCTTTTTTTTTTGTTTTATTTTTTTCTGTTTCTTAAATTATTAATGAAAAAGATGGGACCATTTCATGATTATTTCTCGCAAATCTTTGAATTAGCATGGAACGAGAAATCGGATTCACCTGATGTCAAGAAAAAGAAGCATAGGTATGTTTGACATTGTTCGAAAAAACTGGTTTTATATGCATATATGTAGTTGAATCCTTATTGAAAAACCTTTTATTAAATAATCATTGTTTTTTTTTTAAGCTTATGTTTGATTAAATTTTATCAAGTCATTTTCCAAGTAGAGATTTATGTATCTAATTTTGAGCTACACTTTAAGTGTTGAGGGTTAGTGACACTTTTCTACATAGTTTTCTAAGATATATAGGCATGAGTGAAACTAGGTCGGAACCTGGGATTTGATAACTGAAAGTCGAATGATTTGATCACCGATCCAGTGTGTTCTTCTACTTGGCATAACTGAAGCACAGCATTAAACGATTGGGGGATGTAGATGTGAATTTTGAACTGATGAAGTAATTTGATTGCATCATTATCAGTGTTAGATAAGAAATTGATTCGACAAAGTTTATTTTAAGATGATATGTTTGTGGAGATTAAGTTTTATTGTTAAAGACTGACCTTTTCAGTGTATCATACTGTTCAATAAATAAAAACGTTACAAAATCGTTTTCAAAATAGAATCTTGTTTTCTATATAATTGCCTTCATATCTAAAGGTCATTCGTATTATTATTATCGTTATTAATATTATTACCAATAGAAGTAGTAGTAGAAATAGTGGTAGTTGCAATAATGACTTTTCGCTTACGCTCCTTTCGTGAAGTTCAGTCATGTCGGAAATAAAACAATTATTGAATACTAAACGTCGAAAATAGTTTAACAGTTTCATAAATTGATTGAAGTTTGAAATGTAAACCATTAGATGACGACCAAGTGGTCTAAAGATAAAGCATTTGCAGTAAAACCTGAAGGTTCTGGGTTTACTGCTAAATAGGGTTGTGAACACACACTTTTCAGGATTCCTTTATAAAGACAAAGCAACTATCCACTGCTTCCTGATTCTCAATAGTTTTGTCAGATCACTATCTGATTACTTACTTACGCTTGTTACCCCCGATGGAGCATGGGCCGCCGACCAGCATATTCGCCAGTCTACTCTATCCTGGACCTTTTTTTTCTAGTTCTGTCCAATTGTTGTGCATTCTTCTCATGTCTGTCTCCATTTCTCAGCGTAATGTGTTCTTCAGTCTCCCTTTTTTTCCTGTTTGATATAAAATATAAAAGTTAACAATGTTTGTTTTTTTAAATATCTCCAAGTTCATGTCTGAATAATTTAACTAACTAAGATTATTTTATTTTTATGATTATTATTCATGTTCGTTCAATTGAAGTTTGTTTATTTTTGAAGAATTTCATGGTGACATCGGAAGTGTTTAACTGATCTCGATCAATGTTAACATTTAAAATTTCCTTAATAAATCTGAACAAAAAACTTAAACAATGATGCTTTTATTTTTCGACCCATGTTTCATCAACATTTTTTTGTTCGTTTGTTGTCTTTTGTTTTAAAATGAATAAATTTTTATCAAAATATTGATAAAACTAAAATCTATTTATGAAATGATTGACTTAGTAAAAGCTTTTTCTCTCTCCTTTCTTGAGTAGTTCTGTTGTCTTGTTCTATTGTTGAAAAGTTGGAAATAGGTCATGTTTTTTTGCGTTGTTATATATGTGGTGACAAATAAGCAGAACGTCAAGTAAAAAAAAAGAAGAGGGCGAATATCAATAACCGCGAGCATTAGTAAAGATGTCTATTTATAATAAGAAAATAATAAAATAAGGCAGGTGATCATAGGGGGGAATAGACTTTGTTAAAGGTTTGAACTTAAGTCAATTTCTCGTCTATCAATTTGATTCAATGGTCAATTAAAAACACAGTTCTTTAAACGTTCAATGTACAAACAAAATACTGTAATTCCTCGACTTGATTGATAGTTTGTTATTCCTAATACTCCAGTCATGTAATTTCTTATGTTTATTTCAAACAGCTTAGCTTAGAGTGTAGTTGATATGTTTAGTAATTAATATGACGTTCTACATGACGAGATAATGAACCAGCGTCCAGGTAGGCTACCTTGATCCGTTGACTCGAAACGGCTAAAGAGAAGTCTTGAGATAGCGTGGAAAGTATATTCTACAAACACCTAGCAAGCACAATGAATTCAAGCACACGAATCTCGTTAATTTATACATCGTAGAAACGTCCCTGGGACAGTCACAAAAATAGCACACTAAAATACGCAGCAACCAATCACAATCAAGGGTTTTCCTGGTAGGAAATGAAATCTCAAAGTCAACTGATCAGCTCATGCTCGCAAACATGAAACCCAAAATTAAGGCATTTATCAAGTGTATATCTTTTCACTTTCATTTTTATCTCTCTTTTCAATTAAACCCTGTTGCATTCATCATTCTGTTCGAACTGTTGTTAGTATGAATCCAATATGATACATGTATACATGCTACTTTTCTGTCTGTAATTATGTTAATTCGTAGAAATATACAAGCGAATAATTGACTACTCATACTTATTGTGGATTTCATAAATGAGGTGTACTGAATTGTGTGTTGTTCTTTTTTTGTTAGTCACTTCGTTTGATTATAATCCATAGGTGACTCATTCAAAAAAAAAAACACACCTGTAGATCTAAATACTGAACTGTGGAGCTACACTTTAGTCATGCTTTTAAATAATGATTCTTTACTATCCTGTTGCTCATACAGTGGTAACTAGATAAAGCAAAGTTCAAACTTATTATCTACTTAATGATTAATAGTTGAATGCATTAACCGCCTAAGTCATTACTTCCTAAATTCAAAACAAATTATCACACATTATTACCGCAAAGAGATGGCATTTTCAATTCAAATCGCATAGTAGTAGAGGTAATAATAGTAGAAGTGGTAAGCAAACAAAAAAAATTCACAGATCGAAGATTCACTTTACAACTAAATATAAACTTCTTTAGAGGAGACACTTCTATCGTCATCAATTCATGTCGAAAGACATAAATACTACTGCAAATGCTTTTTTTTCTGCCTAATGGTTAGTATTATTGAATTTTATGATTATTTATTAATTGACATGTGATATTATTTATTTGTCTGGATCTCGTCTATGTCTCACATGGTTATTATCATTATCATATTCAGCTCTTTTTTTATAACTGCCAACTGTATGAAGTGTTGCTTCAATGCTTATGATATTCAATTTTTTAATCACGAAGTCACATGTTGAAACTTTATCTTACCTATTTTGGCTTTTGGCAACTGCAAGTAGTAGTAATAGTAGTAGCATTAGTAGTAGTAGTAGTAGTGTGGTGCGCGCTACTTATAAGTAGTATATGACGTGAGTGAAAACGTAATGTCTGGCAGCAGAAGATGAGGGAAGATCAATAAAGGAAGAGTGGGAACACAATGGAATTTGTATGAAACGCATGAATAGTGAAATGTCAGACAATGGATTGATGATGGATTGAAGATCTGCAAATTAACCGTTTACGATATGGTTTTCCTATTTTATTGAGTAACTCTGTAATTTTCGATAAATACAATTCGGTTTCCCTCACCTGTGTTCTCCTTCACTACAGTAGTAGTACATTTCACTGACACTTTGAATGTTTATGTGTATGAAGCTTTGAAGCCAAGAGTAAACTAATCTCTACTTAGTAAGTGAGTTGATACGAACGAGAGAAAAGAACACTACCACTTTTCAGTCTATTTGGCAGGACATTTGTTTGTTGTAAAAAAGTTTATATTGATTCTTCCGAGTTAATCGTTCTACCAATAAGCATGAACCTCAGAAAACAATTTACAAATTACATTTCTCCATCAAATTACATTATAAAATATCTATTTTTTTCATTGAGGGGTTGTTGTGAAAATTATTAAGTTTCATTATTGAAACCATGAATTGATCAATGTTAAACCACCATTAGAAACCTGGAAGCGTTGGACGGCCGTTTCGTCCTGGTATGGGAATCATCGGCAGTGCGCATCCACGATTCCTGCACCCCGCAGGATTCGAGCCCGGGACCTTCTGTATAATGCACGAACGCCCTAACCGTTAGACCACTGAGCCGGTATCTAACGGTGTTAATGTCTGACTTGATCAAATTCACGGAGTTGCGCAACCTCATACACTGTATACATCCGAACAGTTTTGAACTTCACTGGTCGCGCACAACACCGAAGATCCTGGGTTCGAGGCGCAGGAGTCATGGATGTGCACTGATGACGAGTCCCATACCAGGACGAAACGGTCGTTCAGTGCTTCCAGGTTTCTAATGGTGGTCTAACATTGATCGATTCATGGTTTCAATAATATCTATTTTTGTTGTTATATTTTTCTCTTGAATAATTTCGCTTCAATCTTTCATGCAACATAAGTCAGCAGAAAGATGAATAATATATTCATTCCATTAGTGAATACTTGTTTATAATGTTGCTTTGTATCCTATGCCTTAAAGTCACGGTACACATATTTGTAGCTTTTTTGTTAAAACCTTATTTCTCTTCCACCACCTGTAATATTCTCTGTAAACAGTTGTTATTACTATTATTATTATTATTATTATTATTATTATTATTATTATTATTATTATTATTATTATTGTCACAATTATTCATCGCTAGTGAAATCGATTAAATGTCACCTGTCTTTAATGAGTACTATTAATATTGTTATAGTTTATAGCTAGTGTACGTACTATTTATCGATCATAGAAATTCTTTTGGGTTTTAGCTTATAGAGCTTTCATAGCAGATTAGTTTTTTTGTTGCCTGCATGCCTAATCTTGTGACTGAATAAATAAGTATGCAGATATTTATATATATATATAACCATACGTCACTTCAATGACAAGTTTACAAGCTACATGCACTTTATCATCAAGTTGTTGTTAAGTGTAATGATGTAACTAGAAAATATCGTAGTCCACTTTAATCGATTTACCGTTTTGGTGAAGGAATCAAATGCCTTCAGTAGTGAACGATTGTGAAATGGGTAAAATCCTAGTGACTAGCTTCGTGAGGAAATTCTCGGAGTTCTAGTTGAGAAGACGTGACCAATGGAGTTCA